CTCCAGCCCCCGGCAGCGGCAGCGGCAGCAACTTCCAGCGCTCGCCACTGAACTTTTCCTCAACTCCTTCCCCACCTCCCGCCCGCAGCCCCCGGCCCGGCTCCGGCCGCCGCACCCCCCGCCCCGGTCCCGCCGCCGCCCGCCGTGCCGGGCCGGGCCGAGCCGGGCCGGGCGGCGCGGAGGGGATGCTGCAGGTTGCCGGCGAGCTCCGCGGCGCACCAGACATGTCTATGCAACATGGCAGAGAGGGGAGGGTGAAAAGCCAAGAGAAAGGGGTATTGCACCTACTTGCGGCCAGCTTCCTCGCCCTGCCCTTGGATCGCATGCTGCCAGTCCCGCGGCCGATGCTGGCGTGGGGTTGGGGTGGGGAGGGGGCTCTTTTTTTTTTTTGTCCTCCCGGAGCTTTTCCTCGTTTTTCGCTCCCCCTCTCCCTCTCTCCTCTCCCTCTCCCGCACACACACTCTCCCTTTCTCTCAATCCCGGCTCGCTATCTCTCCAGCATTGTCAGTTTGGACACCTTCGCACATGCGCACGGGCGGCTCCCCCCCGCTCTTCAACATTTCAGCGCCGCCAAAAAAAAGTTTGCAGCGATCCATCACCGCCGGTGGGGACCCTGACAGCCGGCACCGGGGCCGGGACGGGCCGGGACGAGGCGGGCAGCGGCCGCCGGGCTGCGCCACCGCGGCCCCGGGGCAGGCGCTCCGCCGCCCGCGCACCCGCGAGGGGTCACGGCGGGGAAGACCCACGATCCCGCGGGGCAGGGGCTGGAGGGGGGAGAAGCGACACCTTTTTTTTTTTTTTTTTTTTTTTTTTTTTTTTTTTTTTTTTTTTTTTTTTTTTTTTTTTTTTTTTTTTTTTTTTTTAATGGGATATTAATACTGTTCTGGCGTCTTCGCAACGTTTAAACAGTTTATTCTCACCCGGCAGCAATTACCGTAGATCTCTCCGTATGTATAGGCAGGGAGATACAATTTGATTACATGTTTTATTATGTATGCGTACCATGAAATCGTACACTTTCCCAGCGCGCACACTTTTTCGCCACCTTGAACTCGGCTCAGCCACCACCAGTTGGGCAGAAAAAAAAGCGTTTTAAAAACAGTAACACCGACCGCTCTAATCTGTTTTAATTACAGGGTTTGCCAATCAAAGAGGGAGCGCGCAGAAATTGGGAACTCCTTTAGGGGATGGCTGTGTCCGAGGTATGAATCAATCCAAACTAGGTATAGATTTTCCCCTGGTACAACCTCCTTGCATTAAACAGTTTTGTTCAATACCTTCCATGCCCTATTTATGTTCCCATTAATATCTGTTGCAAATCCTGCCAGACACCATAAAAGAAAATTACAATCTTTCAGACTCGGGGCTGCGCCAGTACATACACGCTGCTCAACTTTTTGTTTTAATAAAATCCTCAGCATCGCCCCTTCCCCCTTCAATCCCCCACCCACGCTCCCCCCCCCTTCCCCCCGGCTGCCGGTGCCGCGGATCGGGGCCGCCCGTGGAGCCCCCCCGCCCAGCCCGGGCCTCCCGCACCCCACCCGTGACAGCCCCCGGTGTGGGGCGGGGGCACTGCGGATCCTACAGTGCTGCCCCGAACGCCCGACAGACGGGTGCAAGCGCTTGAACCCGCTCTGTGGAGCCGTCCTTGATGCCTGTCGTTATTTTTAAATTGTAACTGAGATTTATTATATTTTTTAGGACCGTATGTCCACTCCACATCCCCTCGCAGCCGGGCAGGGGTGCACCCAACGCCCCCGAGAAAGGGGGCAGGAGGGGCAGAAGGGCAGGGGGCTGCCTCCCATGGCCACAGACCCCCCCGCACCCCTCGGGGTGCCCAGTCCGGGTTGTCCCGGGCTGAGCTGGGCCCCTCTGCCCCGGCAGCCTCGGGGAGCGGCCACGGGCTGCGCGGGGGATGCGCGGGGCAGGGCCGGGGCTGCCCTGAGGGTCCTGGCATCACCCTCGGGGTCCCGGCACTACCCGACCCCAGACCCTGCTCGCAGGCAGCGCCTCTCCTTGCGGGGCCGCACCGGGGTGTCCCCAGATCACCCCCCTCCGCACCGACCTGCGCCGCCGGTTCACTCGGGACATATGAAAACGCCCGTGAACTTTGCAAAACTCCCTGCGTCTCTCACACCCCCCTCTCCCGCTGCTCAAACAGAGATGTCCCCCCTCAAAACCTCCTCCCGGGCAGAGATGCGCGTCCTTCCCCGCGCCCCGGGACCCGCTCCCGCACGGGCGGCCGAGCCCCGCGGCCGGGCCGGGGTGTTGCAGATGCGGGTTTCCCGGGCGGGTAGCCCTGACCCCGGCCGTGCCCCGCTGTCACCGCCACCTGCCCGCCGTCCCAGCGGCCCCGGGAGCCCGGCAGGTGCCGCGCCGCCCTCCCGGGGCACCGGCCGCGGTCCCGGGACGCCCCCCGCCCGTTCACCCGCCCGCCAGCCGGTCCGCGGGGTCACCCGCCGCGGCCCCACCAGGTTCGCCCCCTTCCCCGAAAGGTCCCGGGCAGCCCCCCGGGGATTCCGTTTCGTTCGTGCGGGGAAGCTTCTCCGCGCCGGCAGCCTCCTCTCCCTTCCCGGTGGGAAGCAACCGGCCGCGGGGATGCGGGGTCGTTTTCAGCGGGTCCACGGCCAGGAACACAGATTTAAATTTTGGGAATTTCTTTTATTTTTTTAATGCGTAGAGGGGTGGAATTAAATCTATTTCTAACACAGGCTGGGAGACCAAAGGCACCCCCTCACACACAGGTTTCAGTGCATTCCCCGTAACAGGAAATTTTCTCTTCCTTACATTATAATTGAGCAAGCCCCGCAGCCTACTTGGAGAAAAGTTGGAATTCTTCATCGAGGTATTTGTTGTGCTATTGTCTTTGTGCAGTGAACTTTACATCGTGTTATTCAATCTCAATCTATATTCTCCTAGCTACCAGTAAGATTAATTTAATCATTGTAATGCAATTATTAATACTGTTTACCCAACGCTTGATTTCAGGTTTGCTGTTAAGAAATTAAGCTTCTTGCTGGGTGACCGAAAAGCTAGGCAGGGATTTCCAGTCCACGTCGAAATGAAACAGTCCTCTTTATTTAGTCTCAGAACTCCAGCTTTCAGCCACGGGCTCAATTAGCCAAAATGGAAACAATTTTCATTCATTGCAATAACTCACTGTTCTGCTGATCACTTTCAAAATATACACTTTATTATTATATGCTGACCTCGGTGCCGCGAAGTGGCAAGGCTAGAAAGAGGCAGAGGGATCTCTCCAGCCCCCTTGGGCTGTAATTATTAGAAATTAATTGGGTTCAGGACCCTGGGTAGCATGGGTAAATTAATAGCTTGTCTGGTTGTTTAAATCCGAATTCTCAGTCCACAGGAGAGCAGGGGAGGGAGGCTCTCCCTCCCCAAACCCGCCCCGGGAGAGCGCGGCAGGGCTGGGGCAGCGCCGAGCCGCCGGCTGATTTCCCTCCTTCTTTTCACCAGCGCATTGTTTTCGGGGAGCTATTTAGGGGTTAAAAATCAAAAATAAAGATCCTGTATACTTGGAGCTGTCGTGCGGGAGTAAAAGTGAAAAGGGAGCCTTAGGCAAAAGGAAATTACTGCAAGCCCGCGTGACCTTTCCGAGAGGTAATCAATCAAGTGATCAACAGGGATATTTATCATTGCTAGATGGGGCTACTTTACAAATGCACAGGAGGGGGGGCGGGGGGATATACACATCCACACACAAAAGTTTGGATAAACCCGATAACTCTGAAGACAAATACGGAGACTTTAATCACTGGGAAGATTGCACATTTTCTTTTCTGAGCTCTCAGAGGGAAAGAAAAGGAGAAAACCACTGCAAAGTTTCCCAGCAGAAAATGCCTCCTGTGCTAGGTGGTCACATGGAAGCTGTCCACTTTGCTTTGCAGTCCTGGGAAAGGCTGGGAACGACAGATGTGATTTAAAAAAAAAAAAAAAAAAAAAAAAAAAAAAAAAAAAAAAAAAAAAAAAAAAAAAAAAAAAAAAAAAAAAAAAAAAAAAAGGCACCAAATACAAGGGAAAATAATAGAGAGAGATCGAGGCTTTGATAACCGGGCTCGGTGTTTGTTTTTATGTAATGTGTTTTTATTTGCTGGCTCGAAACTCGGAGCTGCGGAGCTCAGCCCTGCCTGCCTCCAGTCCCCGAAACGGTTAACTCGGAAAACATAACCAAAAAAAAAAAAAAAAAAAAAAAAAAAAAAAAAGAAAACCCACCCCATGCCCCCTACTATATGAAATCAGCGATCTGGTTCAATTAAACTTGCTCTCCGTAGCATAAAGCATCCACCACAATACAGGCAATGAAAACCAACAATAAAAGCCCATGCATTTTCTGCACAGTTTCCTTCTCCCTTGTAAAACATGCCGTCGTGTAAGCACCAGACATTTAATTTTGCTTCCTATAACTTACCGGATTCCTTAACAAACCTACCCTGACCACTTTTTTTTTTTTTTTAATTTTTCTTTTTTTCTCCCCCTCCCTTTTCATTTTTTTTTCCCCCGGCTTCGCGCTGCGCTCCACGCACACGCCAGCACAAAGCCTCCCTGTCTGCGCGCCGCGCTGCTGCCTCGAAACGACTTTCGAGGCCGGGGAGCGCCCGCGGAGCCCCCTCAGCGAGACCCTTTTTTTGGGGAGAGACCCGGCGGGGGGGGGGGGGGGGGGGGGGGGGGGGGGGGGGGGGGGGGGAGCGAGAGCGCGCCCGCGGAAACTCCGCGCGGTGCCGTGGGGGCTCGCTCGGCCCCTGCGCGCCCCCGCACCGCCCCGCGCGCCCCCGCACCGCCCTGCGCGCCCCCGCGGTCTGCGGCTCCCCCTGGCGGTCCCGGCGCGGCACTGCAGGGCGCGGGCACGGGGTGCGCGCCCCGCGCTGAACCCGCGGGGAAAGCCCTCCCGGGCCGGGTTTTGCTTTACGGTCCGGTACCGGCTCCTGCCGGGAAGAGGAGCTGCCTCCGGGTTTCCAGCAGGCCTGGAGTTGGCGTGTCCCTGGTGAAAGAGCCGCTGGGAACGCGGGGCCGGGAAGAATGAAGCGCATTCACGGGCGGGGGTGGGGGGGGGGAGACGCGCGGAGCGGCGGCGAGCCCTGCAGAGCGCTCCTCGGGAAACGTTTCCCTGCGAAAATGGGACGGGGCGCCAACTATGAAGCAGATCTTGTTTCTGCCTGTTGGAAGGACCTGGATTTCCACAGCACTGAGGCTGAAAGGAAAACAGGGGGGAAATGAACGGGCCAGAGGCAAGATTGAAAAACCGGGGTGGAGGCCCCTGTGGTAAATGGGGACACTGGAGAACTGAACCTGATTTTCTGCTTCCTTCCAGATTTCCTGTGCTACTTAAAGTTGGTGCCTTTTCGTTCCTCCAGCCCTCACCTGAAATGGGCAGAGGTTTCCCTGAACCCAAGAGCTGAAGGTCCCTGTTTTAAGGTGCACAGCAGGGTTGTCCTGCCTTTGCCCCCGCCCCTCATCCCTCTAGGAGGTGGCA